TCAACGTACGTGGGGCGTGGGGTCCGCAAAGCCGTACCCGTAGCGCAAGGCGTTAGTTGGTCTTGGAGCTGCTTCCAAACGCTCGGTCAAGCGCACGGCCGACGTACTCGTACAAGGAGAATTGGAGGCCCACCTCGATAAACACGCGGCAGACACGCGGGCCTACGCCATTCATCAGCACGCGGAGACCGCCGGCACGCACGAGCTCGGCGGTGCAGTGGAAGGCGCTGCGGTAGCGTCCGCCATCAATGCCCATCATGTTCGCCTTGACTGTTCGAGTTCACAAGTTGGGTTAGAGTGCTGGGTGTGTCCGCGCCAGTGCTGGCGTCGCGTTGTACCCGTGTCGATGGGCTGCGTCGCGACCGCGGACACAGCGCCGGCGATGCCGCCGCACAGCATCGCTTGCCAGGTAGCGAGCGGGGGCGGAGGCGTGCCATCCGCGCCGGCCGGCCCCTGCGCCAGCCGCTTGAGCTGGCCAAAGCCGAGGAAGCGGATCGCGTTGGTGGCAGCCCCCTTGGTGACCGCCGGCCCCACGCCCTGGAAATATCCGGCGACACCTTCGGCGCGCCAGATGCAGGCCACGCAGTGCACCAACCTGATTGAGCAAGTGCAGGGGTTCAGAACTTCGCCGGGAAGCGTGCGCGGCGGACGGTGGCCCGCCACCCCTCGTATTGACGCGGCCCGCGCGGCGACTGGTCGTGGATCATCTTGATGGCGATCACTTGGTTGGGCGTCTGACACAAGGCCGCCTCGGCCATCCCCGCCGCGAACCCGTTGATGGTGTCGGCGGTCGGCGTGCCAAGCCGCTGATGCATCCCGCGTCGCTGCGACGCTGCCGTCAGCGTCTCAAAAGTCCGAAGCGTACCGCGGAGCGCGGGCCGCCAAAGATCGCCCACGACAAGCCGCCGCGATACAGGCCAAGAACGCCACGCTCGCGAACAGTGGCCGCTGCGCAATGGAATGGGCTGCGAAATCGGTCCTTGCCGGCGAACAGCGCCGAAGCCTCCTGCTGGAGCTGCATCTGCGTCTTGATGTATTCGAATGGAAAGGTGACGGAGATCTCAAGCGTGCCCGCCACCCACCCGGCAGCGGTCGCGCTGGCGAGGCTGTTGGGCATATCTTGGTTTTTCCAAAAAGAAAAAACCAGCGGACCCGGGGGAGGCAGCACCAGCCAGGCTCAAGCACCAGGGCAGCCACGCGCTCCTTCCGCTTACGCCCGCGCCTCCTCGTACGACTTGCCATGCGCACCGTGACAAGCGAGGCGTCGGTGCGGCTGCCGCCAAATCCTGCCCGGGCGCTTTCTCCCGGTGCCGTGAGGCGCCAGCCCCCGAGTCGCAGGTGGGTATCACCGAGACGTGCACGCCGGGCCCCGGCTTCCGTGCCGCGACGAAGCAGCGCTACTCGGACTTCATCGTCAACGAGGTGCGGCTGAGTGGCGAGCCGGTCCATCTCGCATCGCTCCCAGCTGCCGTCGCCCAGAAGGCGGCCGAGGAGGAGGAGCTGCCGCCGCCGGCCGAAGCAGTGGAGGAGCTCGCCGAGCTGCTGGGCGAGGGCCCCGCCGCGGCGGTGCTGCGGCTGGACACGCACGAGCGCGATGCAGCACGGGCGCGCGTCGAGGCACGCGCTCGGAAGCGGCAAAAGGGAGGCGGTCGAGGCGGCGGCTCGGTACATGAAGCGGCGGCGGCAGGGCCAGCGGCGGCGACGGCAGGGCCGGCGGCGGCGACGGCAGGGCCGGCGGCGGCGACAGCAGGGCCGGCGGCGGCGACGGCAGGGCCGGCGGCGGCGACGGCAGGGCCGGCGGCGGCGGCGGCGGGGCCGGGCGCGGCGGCGGCGGGGCCGGCGGCGGC